TCGAGGGGGATGGGGGGGGGGGGGGACATGGATCTGTTCATGGCTGGTGGCCCCCAGACCCCCAAAAATTCCCCCATGTGGCACAGAATCTGGTGCCCGTGGACCCCCATCATCCAGACCCCCCTCCCCGGGCTCAGGGCTGAGACCTGGCACAAGTTGGGACACTGATGGAGAGGATGAATCCAGCTCTGCGGCGCTGGGGAGGGGGGGGACATGGTTCCGTCCGTGGCTGGTGGCCCCCAGACCCCCCAAAAGTACCCCCATGTGGCACAGAATCCAGTGCCCATGGACCCCCCCGGCTGCACCCCCAGTCCAGGCTCAGGGCTGAGACCGGGCACAAGTTGAGACACTGATGGGGAGGACTAACATGGCTCTGGGGTGCTGGGGAGGGGGGGGGACATGGTTCCGTCATGGCTGGTGCCCAGATTTGGGTGCCCAGGAGAAGATCTGGGTGCCCAGGAGCTGAGTTGGTTGCCCACAGAGCAGATCTGGGTGCCCAGGAGCAGATTTGGGTGCCCATGGAGATGAGTTGGGTGCCCATGGAGATGACTTGGGTGCCATGGGGCAGACCAAGGTGCCCAGGAGAAGATCTGGGTGGCCACAGAGCAGGTTTGGGTGCCCGTGGAGATGAGCTGGCTACCCAGGAGCAGATCTACGTGCCCAGGAGCAGATTTGGGTGCCCACAGAGAAGATCTAGGTGCCCATGGAGCAGATTTGGGTGCCCATGGAGATGAGTTGGGTGCCCGTGGAGCAGAGTTGGGTGCCCGTGGAGCAGATCTAGGTGCCCAGGAGAAGATCTGGGTGCCCAGGAGCTGAGTTGGTTGCCCACAGAGCAGATCTGGGTGCCCAGGAGCAGATTTGGGTGCCCATGGAGATGAGTTGGGTGCCCGTGGAGATGACTTGGGTGCCATGGGGCAGACCAAGGTGCCCAGGAGAAGATCTGGGTGGCCACAGAGCAGGTTTGGGTGCCCGTGGAGATGAGCTGGCTACCCAGGAGCAAACCTAGGTGCCCAGGAGCAGATTTGGGTGCCCACAGAACAGATCTAGGTGCCCATGGAGTAGATCTGGGTGCCCAGAAGCAAAGTTGGTTGCCCGGGAGCAGATTTGGGTGCCCATGGAGCAGATCTAGGTGCCCAGGAGAATATTTAGGTGTCCAGAAGATCTACATGCCCATGGAGCTGAGTTTGGTGCCCAGGAGCAGAGCTGGGTGCCCAGGAGCTGAGTTGGTTGCCCACAGAGCAGATCTGGGTGCCCAGGAGTTGAGTGAGGTGCCCATGGAGCACGTCTGGGTTCCATGGAGCAGATCTGGGTGCCCATGGAGATGAGTTGGGTGCCCATGGAGCAGACTTGGGTGCCCACGGAGCAGAGCTGGGTGCCCATAGAGCAGACTTGGGTGCCCATGGAGAGGACTTGGGTGCCCATGGAGCAGACTTGGGTGCCCACGGAGCAGACTTGGGTGCCCACGGAGCAGAGCTGGGTGCCCATGACCAGATCGACGTGCCCATGGATATGAGTTGGGTTCCTGGAAGCGGCTGAGATGAGGAGGAACGTTTTGGGGACGGTGGCTGTGGGGGACACGGGGTGGGGACGGGTGGGTGGCCGGTTCCTGAGGGTGCAGAGGGCTGATGTCTCCCCCTTTGATGGGTGCCGCAGGTGGAGGTGGAGGTGGAGAGCATGGACAAGGCGGGGAACTTCATCGGGTGGTTGCACATCGAGGGCCTCAACCTGTCGGTGGCCCTGGTGGAACACGCCCTCTCCAAGGTCCACTTCACCGCCGAGCGCAGCCCCTACTACAAGGCCCTCCTGGCCGCCGAGGAGGCCGCCAAGCAGAAGAAGGAGAAGGTGAGCTTGGGGTAGGACCGTCCCCAAGGGATGTCACCACCCCAAGGGGTGTCCTCATGCCCACAGACGTCCCCACCTCAAGGGATGTCCCCATGGCAGATGTTCTCAACCTAAGAGATAGCCCCAACCCAAGGGATGTCCCTACCCCAAGGGATGTCTCCATCCCAAGAGGTGTCCCCATGCTCAGAGACGTTCTCACCCCAAGGGATGAACCCATCTCAAGGGATGGCCCCACTCCAAGACATGGCCCCACCCCATGAGATGTCATCTCCACCCCAAGGGATGATTCCATCCTAACAGATATCCCCACCCCAAGGGATGTCTCTACCCCAAGGGATGTCCTCACCCCCAGGCATGTCCCCACCCCAAGGCATGTCCCCACCCTGAGGGATGTCCCCATGCCAAGAGATCTTTTCACCCCAAGAGATGTCCCCATGGCAGATGTTCTCAACCTAAGAGATAGCCCCAACCCAAGGGATGTCCCTACCCCAAGGGATGTCTCCATCCCAAGAGGTGTCCCCATGCTCAGAGACGTTCTCACCCCAAGGGATGAACCCATCTCAAGGGATGGCCCCACTCCAAGACATGGCCCCACCCCATGAGATGTCATCTCCACCCCAAGGGATGATTCCATCCTAACAGATATCCCCACCCCAAGGGATGTCTCTACCCCAAGGGATGTCCTCACCCCCAGGCATGTCCCCACCCCAAGGCATGTCCCCACCCTGAGGGATGTCCCCATGCCAAGAGATCTTTTCACCCCAAGAGATGTCCCCATGGCAGATGTTCTCAACCTAAGAGATAGCCCCAACCCAAGGGATGTCCCTACCCCAAGGGATGTCTCCATCCCAAGAGGTGTCCCCATGCTCAGAGACGTTCTCACCCCAAGGGATGAACCCATCTCAAGAGATGGCCCCACTCCAAGAGATGGCCCCACCCCATGAGATGGCCCCACCCCATGTCATCTCCACCCCATGAGATATCTCCACCCCAAGGGGTGATTCCATCCTAACAGACATCCCCACCCCAAGGGATGTCTCTACCCCAAGGGATGTCCTCACCCCAAGGTGTGTCCCCACCCCAAGGGATGTCCCCATGTCAAGAGATGTTTTCACCCCAGGAGATGTCTCCATGGCAGATGTTCTCACCCTAAGAGATATCCCCAACCCGAAGGATGTTCCTACCCCAAGGGATGTCCCCATCCCAAGAGATGTGACCACCCCAAGGGATGTCCCCATGCCAAGAGATGTCCCCATGCCAAGAGATGTCCCCAAACCAAGGGATGTCCTCACCCTGAGGAATGTCACCACCTCAGGGGATGTCTCCATCCCAAGAGATGTCCCCACCCCAAGAGATGTCCCCACCCCAAGGCTCCTGGCATCCACGGTGCTGGAGCCCAGTGATGCTCCACCTGCTGGTTGCCACCACAGCCATCATCCCCTTGCTGGTGGCATCAAGCGTGGCCATGGGGTCCCCCACCCCATGTGTGTGTCCCCCCACCCCCCAGGTGTGGTCCCACTACGAGGAGACCCCGGTGGAGGAGGTGGTGCAGGTGCTGGAGGAGAAGGAGCGCACGGCCAACTACAAGCCCGTCTTCGTGACGGAGATCACGGACGATCTCCACTTCTACGTGCAGGACGTGGAGACGGGTACGGGGACAGGGCTGGGGTCCCCCCGTGTGTCCCCCTCCCCATCGCAGGTCTCAACACCCCCCCACCCCACCCCAGCAATGTCATTTGCCTTTGAGGGACACGGATGGGTGGGCTCAGGTGGACCTCCACCCCCAGCTCCAACACCTTCTCCAACCTCCTGGCCACGTGTGGGCCCCACACAGAGGCTGTGCGCTCCCTGGTGACCCCCCCCTCCATGTCCCCAATATTGGTGACATCACAGCTCCACCACCCCCCAGCACCCATGGGTGTTCTACCACCTGGAGGTTGGTAGAACCTCCAAGTTCTACCCGGGGGGCTTTAACTCAATGGGATGAAGATGCTCCGGTTTGGTGGACAACCCCCAAAATCCACGTGTCCTGGGGGTCAATGCCCAGGTTGTGGGGAGGTCTGGGGGGGGG